GTGGTTATATTAGGTTTTCAAATACTAATTAAATTGTGCTCCAAGTTAAGGAAGGAAGACGTAAGATTTAGGATGCAGAAGCAACCCAAAGCAAGGCAATGCGGATATTTCAAAGGAAGATGTCTCTTTTCTTCTGCTGCTCATATTGTTACTGAAGTTTCCAAGGTGTTAGACAATGCCTGAGACACAAAACAATATACAAGCTGAACAAACCAGATTAAAGCATCACTGTATTAGCAATAGCAAAAACCCAAAGTCATCTGGTGATGTTTTTCCTCATCTGGTTTTGTGTATACAGGCCAAAGCAGCAATTTGGTGTTAAGATAAACCCAATATTAGGGATCTGTGTATCAGGATAAGTGTTGTAACCACATGCTGTAGAACACATCTGTTACAAAATTTATTCAGAGGTTCAAATGCATTTGAGCTGTTTTGCTAAGGGAATTCCATGCTAGAAAGCTTCATGTGGGATCAGGTGTCTGATGAACCTGATGAGGTTCAACATAAGTAAGTGTGGAGTCCTGCACCTGGGGAGAAAAACCACCATGTACCAGTATAGATTAGGGGTTGACCTGGTAGAAAGCAGCCCCATGGAGAAGGACCTTGGGGTCCTAGTAGACAACAAGTTATCCATGGGAATGCCATGTGCCCTTGTGGCCAAGAGATCCAATAGTATCCTGGGATGTATTAAAAAGAATGTAGCCAGCTGGCCAAGGGGGGTTCTCCTCCGCTTCTACCCTAGTAAAACATCTGGAGTTATGTGTCCAGTTCTGGGCTTCCCAGTTCAAAAGGGACAGGGATATGCTGGAAAGAGTCCAACAGAGGGATACGAGGATGATTAAGGGACCAGAACATCTGTCACATGAGGACAGGCTGTGAGACATCTGGGACTGTTTAGTCTTGAGAAAAGAAGACTGAACGGGGACCTTATTAATGTCTATAAATATCTGAAGGATGGATGTCAAGAATGGGCCACTCTCTTTTCAGTGGTGCCCTGTGATAGGACGAGGGGAAACAGCATCAAGCTGCAACACAGGAAGTTCCACCTCAACTTGAGGAAAAACTTCCTTTACTGAGAGGGTGACAGAGCATTGGAACAAGCTGCCCAGAGAGGCTGTGGAGTCTTTCTCCAGAGATTTTTCAAGACCCGTCTGGATGTGTTCCTGTGTGATCTGCCTGAGGTGCTCCTGCTGCAGCAGGGGGGTTGGACTTGATGATCTTCAGACGTCCCTTCCAATCCCTATGATTCTATGATTTATGTCTGTTGTCTTTCAAGTAATGTAAAAACAGACTGACCTTCTATCAGGCAATTCACAATTTAATTCAAATCTGTACCATATACTCATTTCTGGCCCAGACTGATTTTGTCCTGCTGACCTTCTGGTAACACAGGTTACCTGCTGGTAACATCTAGGGCCAGGTTTTACATGTATCATTTTGCATTTGCCACAGCTGTGGACAGTTTGGATAACCATTTGTTACGCTGCCTTTTGATAGGCTCACCTTTTTATCTTGCTGCTTTTTTTCATGCCATCTTGTTTGTTTCAGATGAAATATATACAACAAAGTAAGGTGGAGTTCAGGGTTGGTTTGGTTTGTTGCTTTTTTTTCTCACAGGCTTTTGCAGAATTATAGTCTTTGACTTTTAATGACTACAGAGAGGGCTAGTTTCAATGTTAGCACAGCCTCCTTTAGCTAAGCAAGAAAAAGGCATCTTCAAACCTTTCCATAAGCAAGCAGTCCCCTTTGCTCAGCTGAGTGAAAGCTACTTTGTGCAGGAAAGTGAACTCTAAGCACTTTAATGTGCATCTGCAGGTAGAAAACAATTTGGGAAGATCAAAACCCAAAATAAGCACTCTGCCTTTATGTGCTGATGAATGAATTTCATAATACTAACACAGAACTCGTCCCCCCAAGCAATACAAACTCACATGAAGATGCAGCATTCAGAAGCCACAGTGTGACTAAGGCTTGAAGCAGAATGCATTTGATAGCTTCTATGGATTAGCAAGGCAGAAACAGGAAAGGGTTGTGTCCAACAGAAAAGTGAAACATTTCCAACCTTCTATTATTCTATCTACCAGAAAAACCACCAATCTTCCCCCTAAAAATGGCTTTTTTAAAAACAAAACCATATTCTGTGCAGTGTCCTTTTCCACCCAAATGCAGATGGCCCACTGGAATACAATGATTACAGGGGTAAGTAATAGCTTTCTAAAAGTACTATTGAAAAGTCTTCTGATCAAACGGCTGTCAGGCTAAATAAAATGTGGAGTGTTCCTTTTCAGTGAACTAAATTTTGTTTTATGATCCAAAAGACAGTCATGGTGTATCTCCTGATACCTTCCCAAAGGAATTTTGTAAATACCATAGTAGAACATCTCCCATAATTTACCTGAAACAAAAAGGGTGAACAAATTCTTTTTTAAATAAAGGACAGTCTGTCCTAATTGGAATCATAAGACAGAACAGCCAGAATAAAGACATCTTGGGGATTCTGCTCTCCTCTTGCATCTTCTTAAAAGCTGTTTAATATAACCCACCCCAAATAACCCAAAATTAAGGCAAGAGATCCATGGTGTACAGATATATTGAAAAGAAGACATTAATTCCAATATAAAATGAATAGCATTGTATTAACGTTTATTTCTAATTACAAGAAACAGAATATCAGTCCCTTATTTGTACAAAAATACCTGAAAGATTACAATTAGGTTCACAAGCCAAAAAGCTATTTACAGTATGAAGCAAAGCATATTGAATAAAGGTTTTGTCTCTTAAGTTAATACCTTTTGCATTCCCTGAAACTTTAAACTTTATTCCATTTTACAGTCACTAAATCTTGCATTGTGACAATATAATTTACGATAAGCAAGTCTTGCCACTGGAAAGGTGCATTGATTGGTCAAACTGTCAGGTATTTAGTGCAGAAAAGATAAGACAAAACATCTAAACTGAGGCACGTGTTTCTTCAAGATTAATTAACAAATAAAAAGGTTTTTTGTATTTTAACACCTATCGTAACATAACTTAACTAGTAACCTCATTACCAAAATGGTTTGGCATTTTCCTTCTCAACATATTCAAGATTGCTACATGAAGTATTTATTTAGAAAATAAAATCACAGGCAAAAAGATAAAAATTCAACAGGCTCCAAAACAACCCTGAGCATCCCCTTTACATTCATGTCATTTAAATACAAAAATAAGAGTCAAATGTCCTTCAGTCCTTGGTATTCTGAGCTGGCAGCCAGCTGAATCTGTTGGAAAACTAAGGTGGTATTGACTGTTTTCCAGCAGAAAGAAGACAAAGCAGTGATCTGCTTAAGTAAGATTGTTGCCACTTTGAAGGTGGTCACTTTCTCAAAACAGCTCACTTTAGCTGGGAAAAGTACAAAATACTAAGTCAACCATCTACATAAAAAAATCATGATTCATAGTCAAACTTTTATTCTCAATTTAAATAAGATGCAAGGTTTGTTGTTTTTTTTTTTATAAATATGAAACACTGCAAATACTATCTGCCTACTGGGAAAAATGCATGGTTGTCACTAAGCTATGTAAACAGAAAAACTTAAAACTACAGCATAAATGGTCTTATCAAACTGGTAATGTAGTCAATACAAGTATCTTTTTTCTCCTAACAGGGGCCAAACAGAAGCATGCAAAGTGAAGTCAGACTTAAGTTAGCTTAATTTCAAGGTTTTAAAATACATTGTCTAGAAAGCAGGAACACTTATTTCACTATGTACAATTAAAAAAAACCCAAAACAACAAACAAACAAAAAAGGCTTCTACTAAAAACAAAATCAAGTTTCTTCATTTTTAATATCTAGACATTAAATGGAAAAAAAAATACTAAATGTGTTCTGTAAACTAAAATACAGTGTTTCTATACCATTGACATAGTTATAAGCTGATATGGAGGACTCAGGCAGGTTATGGTTTGTCTTAAGCTATTCTCAACACTACATGAAGACCTAAAGATGTAGGATTGGTTTTCCTTTTTTACCCTTTCAGATGGCTAGGATTTCAAACCCAGTGGCAAGCATTAATAAGGATAAACTAGCCTGTGTAAATCATTTACCATCTTCAGAACAATCCATTCTGCACCACACCCTGCAAGTTGCCGAGGGGAGGGGGGCAATACTTCTCACTGGCTAACTGCATGAAGCACTGGGAAGTTAGTTCAGTAACAGTTCCTGCACCAACCACATTGCTGAAAGAATGATCTTTGCGATCGGAGGATCCAGGTGGGACTCTCCTAACTTTAATACTGATTTATCATCAGAAGGAGTTATTGTGTAAACATTAAATAATTCTTTTAAACATAAACAATAAAGTAGTTCTGATGACAAACCAGCACCAGAGCAGGATACATCTTGTCTGCCATAGGTACTGGTGTGCTTTAGTGTGCATGACACAGAGATCACCAGTTACCTCGATGGATGATACTGCCAGCAGCTAGTTCACCATCAAATGTGCTTCCATTCCTGATATGTTCTTTCTCACCATGTAAACTTCCATGGCCCTACAGAAAGCAGAAGGGGTACAGTTCCTTTTATGCCCTGTTGTCCAGGAGAGCTTTGTGTCACTATAGCTTCACTATATGGAAAGAGCTCTTTGAAACAGTCTGAAAATTCAAGGAGCTATAAAGCTAAAAACACTGTTTTGTTTTTTGTCTTTTTATTTTGTCATACTAAGACTACCTGCAGAAGAATCTTCTCACAAAAAAAATGGTGGTTTCAAATACAAGTGTACTCATTCAGTCCTATTCTACTTAGTAACAGTAAGTTTCCTCAGGAAAACAGTCAAAAGGCTGTAAAAAACAAACCACCACTCTGATAATAAAAATTTGTGCATAGAATCTAATACAGTCTTTGCATGACTTGGATGCCACTAATATGCCATCAACATACTACAGCCATAATGCTACAAGTCAACAGTTTTTAAGAGTACATATATGGTGGTAAGTTCTTTTAGAATTGTATCCTCATTGCTTCTTCAAAGACATCAGCAGATCATCGAACCTCAGGTCTCCAGAGAAGTTGAGACACGCGCGTGCGCACATACTTCCTGATTTTCTTCTAGATCCTTTTAGGCTGAAGCATTTCATACATTTTAGGGTGCAGATTAATACCCAACTCCTGCATGAATTTTAAAAGCCACATCAGCTCCTAATATAGGCTGCATACAATATCCGAAACAAAGTAGGAGTGCAAAAAACGTGATCAATACAAAAAGTAAACACACTAGTCTTAATTGTCAAGATTATTCCAGGGCAAGAGTTCCTTTTAAAAGATTTCTCTTCACACTTGTTCCTGTTAAGTGGCCCAGCCAAGATAGTTTCCAGTTTTGTTTTAAATTTACTTATGGTTTTACATACCCTCCCCCCATTTTTGGGATGCTGGGACACTCAGCAGCAATCACTCTTAGGTGTTAGACAAACCAGCAATCTTGGTCTGTTGGCACCTGTCGAATCCATCCCTTTCAGAGTCCCAAGGTGCATATTTTTATTTATTTTTACCAACTTACAAATCTGCCAATTCCCCAGTGTCAACGTTCTCTTACAACTACTCTTCTAGCAAATCCAGTCTTCAGTGAGAGTCAGATTTGAGGTCATAAGGCCACTCGGATGCAGTGGTGTTTGAGTTTGCAGGGCAAGACTCCTTTGTTTAGTTGATAGAATTCAACAAGCTGGATTAGATCACTGAATTTGGTGTTCCCATCATCCAGGCTGAAAAATATCTGTCCATCATCTTCACACTGGGGAAACAAAACGTCCTTTTCAAGTTAGATTGCACATGAAGAAATGTGAATGTGGCAAAACATGAAGAGTACAAGTGTGCGACATAAGATAAATGATGGGCAGTGCCCTAAACAACCTACTGCCCAGAGATGTTCATGAAACTGTGCACAGCACTATAAAAGAATGTATGTTAAGCCAACGTGAAATGTTATATTTATAAAAGCCAAAGAACATGGGCAGAGTGACTAAAGTTGTAGAGACAGCACTGGTCTTCATAACATAAAACAAACATACCCTCCAATATTTGTTAGCTGTTTGTAAAATTGGCAGGCAAAGCAACAGGAGAGGGTTTGGACCAATAAAGAAATCTGCATGATCTTAAACTTCTCATGCTATTTTTGATCAAGATAAAAATCAAATATGTTCTTGACATCTCAGTGTGACGCTATTTTGAGACCAGCATTACTGGATAACCTCCAGAACTTAAAAGTTTCCCTAAATTATTCCATGTGTGCGTAAGTGACAGAGTAACAACTGCTGCTGTTGTTTCTGTCAGTCACAAAGAACAAGTTCTGTGCATTACTTCTATACCTAGGTGACTTATCACAAGTGTTCCAGGCAATGTTAACAAATAATTTTAATCATACATTTGACAATTCTAAAGAATACTTGCTAATATATTTGACATCCCTGTTAATTGTGTCCAAAGAAGGACAATGAAGCTGATGAAGGGGGTTTGGAACATGTGTCTTACAAGGAGTGGGTGAAGAAACTGGGATTGCTTAGTCTGGAGAAAAGGAGGCTGAGGGGAGAACTTCTTGCTCCCTACAGCTACCTGAAAGGAGGGTGGAAGGAGCTGGGGATCAGTCTGTTCAATGAATTTACAAGTGATAGAGGTAATGGCCTCAAGTTGTGCCAAGAGAGGTTTAGATTGGATGTTAGGGAGAATTTCTTCAATGAAAGGGTTATCAGGCATTGGAACAGGCTGCTCAGGGCAGTGGTGGAGTCACCATCCCAGAGGTACTTAAAGTTATATAGACATAATACTTAGCAATATTAGGTTTAGTTAAGGACTTGTCAGTACTAGGTTAATGGTTGGACTCTTCATCTTGAAGGTGTCTTCCAACCAAGGTAATTCTGTGTGATTTTGTGTGTGAATTGCATCAGTAATTAAAAAGAGGTCTCTAGATGTTGGCAAAGCTTTATGATTTAACATTTCTATTTTTGTGATCAGTATCAAAAACAAATTACTTACCGGCAAGATTTGAAAATGCTTTATTTTTTGATGATGGCACAGCGTAAGTACAAATGCCTTTGGATTGCTTTGGCTGTCACGGAGAAGAAATAGTCTAGAAGAGAACATTTTCAAATACACACTGAATACCACGATCGATTTCTTTATAAATAATCAGAACTACTAAGTCACTTTGTGGCTATTATTTGTGACTATGATTTTGTGCTATTGCCTAACTCTTCTTTAGTTGTGTTAACAGGCAATGTTGTAACTGGCAATTGACTTTCAATTGTTATACCATCACTGTGCAACACAAATAAATGGAGAAGCAAGAAGTGAAAAGTACTTAAAAGTATTTCTTCCCCTATGCATGTATGCATGAGGCTTTTTTTCATGGTCCCTCTAACTGGGCTCTCCATTACCAACAGGTACTCTTAAGAGAAGAAGATGTTCCCATTTAACTCCAAAGCAAATCTCAATTTCTGTAGATGGGAAATGTTCCCACTCTCTAGTATCTTGCATCAGTTTACAGAAATCCAGTGTTAGCAAAATTATGTTTAGGTGAAATTGCTGCAGTTGCACAGAAACTGCTCAATACTTTCTTAAAACGATGAATCAGTTAAATAGCATTCACATTATCAGGATGGGGAAAACACACACTGATTTTTCATCGAAAACAGCCACAGTATTTCCCCCTCAGCATCACTGAAAAAGAATATACTTTAGGAGTATAGCTAGCAACATCATACACCATGTAACTGTCAATTTTAAGTTGACCCACAAAATTAAAGCCCTAACTCAAATGGTCAAATATATATTTAGAAAAGGAGAAAAAAAAAAATAGGCAAAAAGTGTTTCCTCCCCTTGACGTTTATTAACCAAGGAAGGAGAACCTCTCCATGCCACAGGAAACAAGAAAACACCTTTGGCATAAGGTTCCCAGGACCAATCACTATTTGATTTGTGAGATAGCCAAATACAATACTGGGGCAGGTCTCAAGCCCTCTTAATCGCTAACCACTAAGCCAGGAACACACTTTTCCATGGCTGAGTTGCAAGAGCCGGTTGTTGTCTCATGCACCCAGAAGAACTTACTCCAGCTCCTCAGGACCAATTGAGAAATGTCAATACCACAAAAATGTGCCATCATAACTAGGGTCAGTCCAATAATCAGAGACAGGCATGTCTTGCCACCACTGGAAACCATGCATGGTATCTGAACATTCTTTTTTAGTCCTAGCAAGACCAGATGTGTGGAAAAGGGACCAAAGACTTTACACATTAGGATCCACCTCAGGGAGAAAGATCTCACCTGCCCTGTGGTCACTGCAGATCACTGAGATATCTCTAAATTATCTTTCATCTAGCCATTTGAGATAACGCATGGCATCATAAACTGGTGGCACAAAGCAAAGCTCAGCACAACTGATCCTGCAAATGTTTACTCAATCTCTGGCAAGCAACAGGCCTTCCACACAAACAGTGACTATAAATATAGATGCATCAGCTTCCAGACACAGCCAAATTATAGCAGTATCAGCTGCATATATACACTACTGAACATCTTACAGGAGCAATCAGAAGACTGGTAACACACAGAGCAGGAAAACACAGGCAAGAATTTCCTATGCTGAAAATAATTTTTTGTACCATCTCACAGCACATAGGGAACACAGTTCTTTTGCCTCACTGCAGCCAAACAATGCAATCTGCACCTTCCACAGCTGGCTGTCACAAATGTAGCTGCCACTGCAAAGGCACTGGACACATACATGAAAACCCCAGGAAGGATAGGGTCCCTAGATTCCTAAGGCAACAAGTGAAAATGAGCCCAAGATTGCAAAGAAGATCTGTAGTGTAAGAGAACCAGAAACCCAGTAACTTAGCAGTGCTCCTCTGCATTCTCAGCCTCTCTTCTCTGTTTGACCTGCTAAGCTATAACCCAGCAGCCTTAGCCCAGCAGAAAACCACAAATAATAGAAAAACACTGCATGATGAACACGCACTAGCAATTTCTATTTCTCTAATGTACTTCATTCTTCACAAAAAGTAGTGATGCTTCTGAATCAGCAAATGCCTAAGAAAGGTTTGATTTCTGTGCCAACATGGTATGGAGCTCAGTTAACTGAAGGCAACCATGCTCTTCTCATCCTAGAAATAATGAACTGCCAAATGCATTTTAAGCAACTCCCATTCAAAAACCATAACTATATATAAATAAGGGAAACAGATGTTCAGAAGATACTTAAATCTCACATACAGGCATTTTAGAGTGCTGGAGCAGGTACTTTGATTTTTTTGCTCTACAACAGAAATAAATAGTGAGAAATGAGAAAAAACTTCTTTACTGTGAGGGTGACAGAGCACTGGAACAGGCTGCCCAGAGAGGTTGTGAAGTCTCCTTCTCTGGAGACTTTCAAGACCCATTTGGACACATTCCTGTGTGATCTGCCCTAGGTGTTCTGGCTGCAGCAGGGAGGTTGGACTCAATTATCTTCAGAGGTCCCTTCCAACCCCTATGATTCTATGAAATCATCATTAACTGTTCTGATTCATGCAAAAGAACACAAATGGCTGATTGTAAGTTTGTGGGAAAAAGTCTGAGAAATATGTCCTCACTACAGATTACAGGAATTAATTATCTCAATTGCCTCAGTTGGAAAAAAGAAAAATGTGTAAATGCATTCTTAATATTTTATTTTTCAAGTTAAGAGTTAGAACCCCTCCTACAAACACATGCTCTGTCTTTTTGAAATCCAGGCAGGTTATAATATTACTCAAGAAGCAATTTACTTGGAAGTGCTTACAAACCTGCAGACCCTTACAGCAGCTTTGCTTTTATCTATATGCTTACCATCAGATAATAAATACTAAGCTACAAGAATACCCACCCATCTACAAGCCCTTGTTGCTTAATAATCCTGTGAGATTCTTCTCTAGAGATTCTGCCGTGAAACCAGTGCTGTGTCCTATGAATAACTGAAGACAAGAGAGAAAAGAGGGAAAGACAGGGTGGTTAAAAACAGTAACATGTGTAACAGTTTTTTTCCACATACAAATTATTTAAATATTTTACGTGGGTATAATGTCTTTCATCAATCTATAGAAAAAAATGAATCAGTATTAAAAAAATGCACCAGCTGTTGTATCTACTTAATGTACCAAGTAGACAGTTAACCCCATGTATTTACTGACTTCATTAGTCAGGACTAAACAATTCTTAGACTACCACATATAAGCTAACAAGTTAGAACCAAGTCCCTTAACTCTCAAATAATGAAAAGCACTTTAGCTTGTGCTTTCAAGGGTGGAGCTACGACCAAATATTTTTGTTTATTCTTTTATTTTTTTCAAATGGCATTTTAAAATTCTGCTCAACAGAAACACAGAATAGAAACAGAGAATAGCTGTGTTTCCTCTAATAAATCCACTATAGAAATGCGCTATTTCCTAGTATTTTAATAAACATAAAATCTTAAAGAGATGTTTAGGATTCACATTACAGGCATCTGTATTTTACATTATTCAGTTATTATGGAATTAATATTGTTTTGAAGACTCCTATTTTTACTCTGTATAGAATAATAGATCACCCATTGACCTTCCTTGTTTGAAACAAATAATCGATTTCTGGATTGTTTTAAATGGAAATATTTATGGAGTCTCAATTTTCATAAAATCTAAGTTTCAAAACTTTAAAATTGAAGAAAAGCTTGAGTGTGCCTTCAAAGGTAAACAAGTTCCTTCTACTATGTTTGTATGGGTAAGCAAGCATGTTAACAACATAGAAGCTACTGATAAACATAGAGTATTTGACACTGAGGCATTAAAACTACATGATTGCACTCTGTCTCTATATGAAATGTAACTTTTATTTACTCATAGAGACCTCTTATGCTATGCTTAAAACAAGCAGAATTTACCTGTACTCAGTGTGGAAGGATGGAGTGGACTTTGGCTACCCAAGATGTTCATTCTTGTGCTACGTTTCTATAGAGAAAAATGAATTACCGTTAAATCCACACTAAAGCCTCAACAGAAGAGAATTAGTGCACATGCAATATAGATTTAATTTACAGGAAGCTGGGGGCTGGGCAAGTTTAATGCAAGGATGAGAAAAAGAAATGCAACTTTGAAGGAGGCTAATCTACAAGCAGCAGCTCATTTCAGTTGGCTTAAAACACAAGCCAAATGTTAATGATGGAAGCTCAGTATCTAAAAAAAAAAGGAAAAAAAAAGAAGAAAAAAAAAGGAAAAATAAAGAAAAAATGACAGAAAAAAGAAAAGTCTTATATGTTTCTGCTCAGGCAAAACACCAGGCACTCAGTAAATCAAGCAGTTTTTCCCTCCCGTACGTAAAGCACCAGCTAGTGCTTCAGTAATGACTCCTGTTCCCTAAGAGACGAGCATGTGGGAAAACTTGTACTGCAGCTGTCTGTCCACAAGACACTATAAACAAGTTACATCAGTTTCCATTGCAAGAGGTCCTGCCTCTTGTATATTCTGCAATTAAACTTACTGGGAGCAAGCCATTAGTCAGAGCCCCAGCCTCTTCCATGTGGGGAAGCATTTAATTTGACATATTCCTCCTCAGAGACTGGTTTTGCAAACTGGCAGTAAAGTTCTGGTGGGTCTGCTTTCCCCCTCAACTTTCCTCTGGACACTAGGGGGACAGAGAAGCAGTGGTAGAAGGTTGTTGTGAATGTGACAGTTTTGCTAAAGATGGATATTGACTTTCAGATCTGCATGCTTGCAGTGTGATTGCTTCAGGTCGGAGCTAAGCTATACTGTGACCAGCACTGCACTAACATCATAGCACACTCTGTGTTTTGGCTCTCAACAGACACTTACTAATTACAAAAAGAGAAAAGAAGAGAAGATAGCTACCCTCCAAGCATGTCCTTCTTCCAAGGCAGCACTCTGTGCTTCAGCAGTATTTTCAATAACTCTTCCTATTTGCCCCGAAAAATCCATTGCTACTAGTGAGTTTTCAGATACACTTCTCTGAAAAGGAATTTTCACTTGTTTCAAAAAACAGGGAAAGAAAAAACCAGCTTGAGAGTTTCATTTCAACATGTTTTAGTTTCAGAAGACTGTCCAAAGTTATACTTTAACAGAACAGAAAATACATAATTTTTTTCTTTTTCCTCCTTCTGGAAGATTTGCAGACACAAAAATAGATGGCTTTTCTTTTTAGGCCACAGGGGAGGGAGAAGATTCAAAGGCTGAGAAGAAAATCTGTATTGCTCAAGTAGCCCACTTGCCCTATTACTATACTCCAGTCATTTTCAGGGCCAGTTGGGATCCAAATATAGGATCTTCACTTTTACATAGCTAACAGTCAGCTCTTGGCCCAACATATTTTAAGAGATTTACGTCTTAGTTTTGCCAGACCTAAGCTGGCTTCTGCAGAGACAGCCAGATGTCTCTGTACTGTACATCTCAAAGTGCCTGACACATCCAAGATTTTTCAATCATGTGGATCGTGTAAGTCTAAGAGAATGGAGAGCCAACCACGTAAACTGCACTCATGTGAAACATGAACTTTATATTGATTTGCTACACAATGCTGAATTTACATTTCTTAGCAAAAAAATTTCCACTTTTAATATGCAAAAGCAAATGTATCTTTTCTTACATCATACATTAATGAGGTAAAGTTCATTACTTACTACTGGAGTGGAAAAGTGTGGAAGCATGGCTTTTCTCTGCTGGGGAATTCTGTAATTCTGATACAGTAGCATTCCATACTGCCAAAAGAAATGCAAGGACATTGTTTTTCTAATATATACCAGAGGAAAAAAACTGTAGTGACTTCATAATGCCACTTACACTAGAGCAAGGTGTCACCAGTTGATTATTTTCATGATCAGAAGCTGTCCCAAAGCAATCTGCATTGAGTAACAGTGGCTTGCAATCAAGCAGTAAATACACACAAGTTTTAAATAAGACACTTTTACAAGCCTGAGTGAAATACACAGGTAATTTCTGCCACTCCCAGCTATCACCCTGGTTTCCTTACAGAATACAAGCTTTCACTGGAGATCAGAACACACATATAAACTTCCTCTCTTTTTACCCTCTAATAACATGAACTTAAAAAAAATTATGCTTAAGGTGTTCAATCTTGGTTTTCATAAAGATAACAATTAATAAACTTTTAAATTTGCTATCTCAGCAGG